GTTTCCACAAAAGGGGGAAGAGCTAATGGAAATTAAGCATTTTTCCTAGATGTCTTAGAGCTGTGCAGTTTAAAATATAGAAGGTAGTTCAGTCTAGTTTGTGGGTTATATCAATATTTTTCTAACATGTGATCTAAAAAAACTGAAAAACATCAAGAGTATAGTACAGATTATAAAGTACCAGTTCTGTGCAATTTTTTGGTTTTATATATTTGCATGTTAAGTCTAGATGGTAAAATGTATTTCCTACTGTGTCTCCTGGTTTAAATTTTTCTTAAATTTTTGATACATGTTGAAGTCATCTTTTGCACAACAAAATTTATTGAGTACCTACATGTGTGCTGGTTTAATAAGAGTGAATAAAAATACTTGCTCCTTGCCCATGTAGTATTCTCACAATAACAGAAACATATGATTAGGTGCTAAGGGAAAGAACAGTTTAGGGAGCTCTGATTATCATTAGAGAAACAATTAGCATGGGGATATAGATGGGGATATAGATGGGAGTAGTAAGATGTGTGAGGAGAAACTGGGAGAGAAAGCCTGGCTACCAGACTACCAGAAAAATAGTACTTTTAGCAAGAATCTGTAATCTTTACATTTTGAAGAAATGAAAAGTCAATGGTCAGAGAGAATCATCTACATAAGACTTGCCCTCCCCCCCCTTCTTCCTAAGAAAGGAAAGAGATAATGCAGGAATTTAAAATGTTCTAAGGGCAATGGGAATGATCCAATTTGCATTTTAAAGAAGAGATAACATGGAAGCTAGAGTAGATACTGACTGAGGTGATGCCAGGTGGAGACGAACAGGTTTGATCCAGGACATATTTCAAATGCCAGAAATGACAAAATTTGGTGAAGGCTTGGCTATCAGAAACTAGAATACTATAAATGTTAAACATTCTATGGAGTCATAATTCATGCCACCATGTATTTGAAGATGTATAGCAACATTGTAATCAAACATCCTTTCCTGAAACTGTAAGGAATCATTTCTGTTGTGTTTACTGTTGTATATTCCACATCTAACACAATACATAAAATATGTTACCAACCTAAGCAGAATAAACTACTCAGAAAATTAAGACAAACAGCGCTCATCATGTAATTGCAAAGAAAACTGTATTATGGACATAGTACTAATAACAAAGTACTAATAAGTATGATTCTCTGGGAAGTTAGCCATTTAACACATAGCCTAACAGGATCAGATGCTAGTTCTATCAGTTCAAATGCCAAAAAGCCCATCAGTAGGCAATCAATGATAACTATCTTCGCCACTCCCAAGAAGCCCCTAGAGATTAGAAAGTATCAAATGTAATAAAACTATGATGCTGAAGCTATAGTTAAATTTCATGTAGGTTATTAACACAGAAATACAAAATGATTAAAAGGAAAATTGAAAATGGCAATTACTGGTGATTTTTCTTTTTCCTTTAAATGCTCCTGGTTCCACATTTTCTAAAACATATGTATATTTATGATGTATTTTTCCCATTCACAGAGGTCACTGTAACACACAGAAGGAAATGCAAGTGTACACAAAAGAGGTGAATAACTGACAACATCACTCAGAAGTAACTAAACACTTCCAATATTTTATGTGAAGCTTTATCTGCTGCATAATAGAGAAGGAGAATGAAGGGAGATACAAAATTAACCATACAACTGTTCAAGACTATCAAGATTACAGAATGCTGCAATGGAAAAGGCCAGGAAGAGGCAAAATTGAAAGTAACGACTAAACTGAGTAATCTGAAGAATAACATGGAATTAACCAAGTAAGTGTAGATCCAGGTAGCAGTCTAGGAAGAGGGAACAAGAATGTAAACAGGATACTGAGACTGACCCAACCAGGGAACTGGGGAGAAAAATTAAGTAGGTGGAAAGGAAGATAGGCTGGACAGAGCTTCAACTAAAGACAGCACAATTAGGAATTGACCCTCAGGGAAGGAATGATAAGAGGAAAGCAGAGCAAGGCAGATCACTCCTTAAAGAGATTGTTCCAATTGCTTAGGTGGAAAAAGGATTAGGCCCTGAAAATCCTTAGATGGATAGTCCTCAGATGGACTTGATGATCAGCATCTTCTCCTAAAGGAGAGGGAGGATAAAGATAACAGAAGAACTTTGGGAAGGTACAAAGAAAAAATATATAGTGATCCTATATTTTAAATTTATATTTTAAGCTTCACAAAACCTCCTAGATTGGTAAGGATAAAAAAAATTACATTAACTTTAATATGGCACAATTCCCAGGAAATTCATATTAGAAATGGCAGTGGGGAGAAAAACATTAAATATTTATATTTAAAAAGCGATAATTTTTAAGACTGAAAGATCTGCTTTAGAAACTGAGCTTAATAACACTGAAACATACATGTTTTAGCACCATCTTTATAATAAATATGTAACAAATTAATATCAAGGGAATGAAATGTATGAAGAAAGATTGAGCTAAGAGAAAAGGATACTCTTAATGACATCCAAATAAGAAAAACAGCACTATATGCAGGGTAAAGACCCACACAGAGAAGTCTAGCTTCTAGAGAAGTGGGCATGGTACAGGAGCAAGAGTCAATAGCCCCTCACTGGTCTAAAGAAAGTATCACTCAAAACTATCCCTAGCATTCAAGAAAGAATGTTTATTAACCCAATAACTTCACCACTATGTATAGACCCATGAGTTTAAAACAAAATGTTTTCACATAAACATGTATTTATGAATGTTACAGCAACATTATTCATAATGTCCGGAAAGAAGAAACAACTCAGATGCCATCAACAGAGGATGAATAAACAAAAAGTGTTATATCCACAATGGAATAAAATTCAGTCATAGGATGGAATAAAGTTCTACACCAATACCCTATGACTGAAGCTTGAAAAACATAAGCTAAGTAGAGGAATCTATTCACAAAAGACAGACATATGATTATGTTTATGGAAATGTCCAGAACAGGTATGTTTTTTCAGAAAGAAACTAGATTAGTTGTTGCCTGGGGCAAGAAGAGATGGGAGTTGTATAGGAATGGACAATTGATAATGAGACTAGAATTTCTCTTTGAGGTGAAAAAATTTCTTTATTGTGGTGACAGTGCACAAGTCTATATAGTAAAACCACTGAGTAGTATACTTTTAAATAATATTCAGTAATAGGAAGATTTCATGACTGTAAATTATATCTCAATAAAGTTGTTATTTAAGATGAGAATATTTTGAGCACTGTGGGAACTGAGGTAATTTGCTGGAAATACAATTTAAAAAACACAAAATCTGTCCTCAAAGCTCTAATATTCTAATGAGAAAGAAAACCTTGAGAGACAACTACAACAGAATGAGAAAAGCAAAGAAATAGAATGGCAGACTGCCCCTCAGAGACGCTTATCCTAGTTCCCCAGTGTCAGAAGATGCCCAGAAGAGAACTCAAGATGACATTTTTTTCTTCCTTAAAATCTGAGGAACTTTTTAGAGTAAATACTTGTTCGGCTTCTTCAAATTTTCTTTCTTATAGAACGATAAAGAACTTTTTTAAAGCAGTTTTGCAGTGCAATATTTAAAACTATTATTATTAACTTTTTTCGGCAACTAAAGTCTTAATATAAAACAAATCTCCGATTTAAATTGCATTACACTAAGTTCGTGGAGTGATATAAAAGTTATGCACAAACCTTTCGTAACACCTTAAATTGAGGGAAACAGGGTTTCAAAAACCCGAAGCAACCTGTAATATACATTCTAAAACAAAACATGAGGGACTGAGAGCGGACTAGCAAAATAAATAATCTTAAAGAGTGTGCTGCAAACTAAAAATGGAGCTTTGACAATTAAACGCTAATGTTCAACTACAACTACACAGCTCGAAATTAAAAGATTAATAACCGTCGCCATAGAAAGAGTGAAGCCGAATTTCCAGGTTAAAAATAAAAATAGTGCAAATTAAAGTGGAAAGTTTGGGACAAAGATTCGGTCGGCACCTAACTGAAAGACCAAATCTACCAGAAACTCGCCAAGAGAAAAGGTGGAGCAACTGCAACTTTTAACGTTGCTTTAGAAGCAGCGCTTCATAAATAACCACGCGAGGGTAGTTTATCAAGCGTTGTTTGTTTTTTAAGTTTGCTCTCTCCGGAGGTGTAAGTGGGGATGGGGAAACCAGTCAAAACCACTCCCACAACCAAAGCCACCACGAGCAGATGTGCTCAGTGCAGCTCAGAGTGAGACTGGCTCAGAGTACACCCGGAAAGCATCCGAAACGAAATCTGCCTGTTTCATTGGCTGAACCGAGAGGAAAACCCCAAGCTCGGTGTCCCAGTCAACCTGGCTTCCTCCTCCGCATCCCCACCCCACGCCACGTCCCGTGTCTGACAATTCACGCGACACGACCAAACTCATTTACTAAGCACCCATTGCCTACACCGCATTGTGGCTTCGGGCACTGCAGGAAGAAATGGCTCGGTGCCGGAAAAACCAAAAGGACAGCCTTGAGGGCTGAGGACAACCCGAGATGGGGCTGGCTGCCTCCGACAGGGAAGTCTAGAGACTTTCAAACGCTCACCCCGAGGGTCGTGACAGTGCTAGGGAAGAAATGGTCCAAGGGGCGCACCAGGCCCGGGCCTCCCTAGAGTCCGCCACAGACAGGGATGGAAGGGGGAAAGAACGGAGTCCGCATCCTTGGACCATCCGCGCGCACCTCTGCCCCTAGGAGCGCGACCCCAACTTCGTACCCGGGGAGAATGGCGAGCACGGGGACCGAACCCCCGAGAGGCCAGAGTGGGCTGTCACAGGATCCTGCCTCCCTCCCCTGCGACCATGGCCGGCCGCTCTCTCCCCAGCATGACAGTCGTGGCGGTCGCGAACCAGGAGCCTTCGGCCCGGCGTCTCAGCTCCACTGGACGCCAGCGCTGCTCCGCGCGGAAGGGGGCAAGTGCCGGAAAGACCGCCTGGACCCCTCCTTCCATACCCCCTGCCCCCCCAACCCTGCCGGACTCCGGAAAAGCGGTTACCTGGCGCGCGGATGGGGCGAGGACAGGATCCCCAGTAAGAAGAGAAAGACGGTGGTCTCCCGCCCAGGGAGATTTGGGAAATTTGGGAGACTTGTTCCGCACAGGGTGACAGCTGTTTGCTGCGCACGCGCACCGAGCCCCAGATGCCCGATCACTCCGCGGTTCCTCACCCTCCCGTCGAGGGGCTGGGAGGCAGCGGCGAAGGCGCGCGCACAGCGCTAGTCGGCTGCCCTGCGCGAGGACGCGCGCGCCGTCACGTGACCACTAGAGCTCCGCACTTAGTGGGTCACGTGAACTTCCTAGCAGCTTAAAGGTGCCTAGCACCTTCTTGCTTTGAACTTAATCTACCGCGTTCTACGTAACAGGGCTCGCGACAAGCATCTTGTTCTCTGGAGTCGGGCATGTTTCCTTTTTTCCGAGGGGGGGAGACATTTGAACACCAGGAAGGAACAGGTGCAGAGAACCTTGCCCGGAAGCAACTACCGGGTTCCCGCGGGGTTGGACCCGATGAAGTACACGCGCCACACGTCGTCCTGGGCTCGGACGAGGGCCTATGGCGGCCTCCGGCGCGCAGACGTCAGAGGAGCGTTGCCATGGGTGGGGCTTCGGAATGCCCTACGGAGCTGACTTGGATGTCGGGGTTTGCTGGTGGGCAATGACAGCGTCATATGGCCAGATCTACTGAGCCTCTTAAGATGGGAGAAGCCGAGTGGCAGAAAATGACTGTCAACTTGAACGAGTAACTCGAGAGGCAATGTTTTTAGCCACGGGGAGCGAAACTGGCCGGTGTTCCAGGCTCCAATACGGACCGCCCTGAGCAGGTATAGGCAGGAGGGTGGCTCATTATGAATCCTGATTGGAGGGCTTTAAAAAACTAGGGATAACAGTTTAGCCTGAATTGCAGTAACTGGAAATACAGGTGCTTCCATAGTACTTACATTAGTTTGCTACAACCCGTTGTTTCTGCGCTGTAATTCCGCCTTCCAAAGTACCCAAAGGGACTGCCAAAGACTGGCTGGATGCTTTGCAAGCTAAACAATTTTTTCTTTAACTTCCTGCAAAGTTCTCCCTGTGTGCCTTGTAGCGATTCCCCTAACTTCTTATCAGCTAAGAAAGACTGTGCACATCCTTTAACTATGCTTGGGGTGTCTAATATGCTGGAGTATTTTGCTACATTGATTGTGGATTTTCTAAAATATATCAACAGACCTACTTATCACATTCTCCTCGGAGGGAGGCGCAATCCAAGCAGGTGCAGGATATGGTTTAATTAAACTAAATCTAATGGGATTTTGGTGTTGCCCCCATTTCTTCAGTTATTACATTACAATAAAAGGTAGTGATGGAAAGATATAGAAGGGATAATACTAAACAAAATAAGTGAGAAAGAAAAATACTGGAAAAATACTAACACGTGAAATACAAAGAAACAAGGCAAATTAGTAAACAAAACTAAAAACCAAAATAATCCCTAGAAATCTGAAGCATAGTTGAGGCTATGGGAGGGAAAATGGGAAGGGGAAGAACCAAAGGACTATAATAGAGAAACTAGTGGTGAGCATATTATAGCAACATACTTTTGAAGGAGGTATGTACTTACACCCCTAAAATAGTGTTGTAAACCAAATTTACCTCAATTAAACAAACAAAAGAAACAAGGCTTAGGCTTCAGTACCCACATAAACTTCTAAACATGTATACAAAATGGGAATTTGTCAAATGTATATACTATGAGGATCCAAATCTTCACTGCACCTCAGCTGGATATGCTAATATAAGTGTATTTCTTAACTTGTTTATTTAGAGCTTACTGTAGGGTTCACACTAGTTTATAAACTTCAGATATATTAACTAATCTTTAAAATAACTCAATGAATAGGTGTTATTATTATCCTTATTATTACATGTATGGAAATTGTAGGAGAGTTAAAAATATGTCTCTCAGCTAATAAACAGTCTTTGGGAAGCCATACACAGTATTAAACCGGAAACTTGATCAGCAGAATTAAAAGTCTGGAAATTTGAACTCCAGTTGTGTCAGAATTTACAGATGCATGATATTGTGCACAAATATTATTTGCTGAACATAGTAAATTAAGTTTCATTTTTAAAAAACTGAAAAAATGAAAGTGATACCCCAGATTTACTTCTCTAAGTATGTCTGAACATCAAAGAAGATACTACGAAATATAAACAAAATGCTGTACTGTATTAAACTATTAAGCATATCACAATTATGGATACTGAAGTAAGCCTACTAGAAAACCATTAAGATTCATGGCACAGAAGACTGTTGTATCCCTAATGTAGTGAAATAATTTTAAATTGTGAATTTACAATGAAAGTAACATTTTGGCTATATAGTAGATTTATATATTACATCCAATTAAAAACTCTAATTTGGGGGCCTACCTGGTGGCACAAAGGGTTAAGTCACAACACTATCAAGCTATCTGCAGCCACTGCAGTCTGAGTTGAATGCATGGCCTGGAAGGTGACCCACATGGTGTTGCAATTAAGATTGAAGTTTTATAAAGTTGACATATATATAGACACATCTATATGCAAATATAGATATACATACACACACACTTTGAGGCTTATATGTTGTTTTTTAAAAAGATTTATTTTTATTTATGCATTCAAGAACTAGAGTGTAGGCCAAGGTGCTGGGAGTAAGAGGATTCACCAGACACAGAGTGGGAAGCAGAAGAGGCAGGTCTACTGAAATAGACTGCTGAGGGGAGCAGCAAGCAAGACAGGAGAGGTCTGTGGTTCGACAGGAGAAGTCTTCGGTTCCACAGGAGAAGTCTGTGGTTCCATGTGGATCACCTCCCTGGCCAAAATCTAACTCATGCTGCAGTGGCTTATATGTTATGTGAACTATTGTTCAGATCACCTCAGAGACAATAATCATAAATTTCCTTAAGCAAATTGATATATAACTAAATAATACATCCTAATTTTGGATATACATCCTAATTTTGGACAAAGTACACTAGACTTTAGTAAATATAAAGGTTAAATAATAGTAACATGTATAAATGTTCATATTTATTCTTTTCACATACATATTTGTAATACAAGCAGAACAAAATTTTGATGTTTAGATGATGTTTTAAAGAATTACAGTGAAAATTATAGAAATTAAAAAGTTTGAGACCTTGGTACTGGTTCTCTGTATCCTGAAATTCAAATCAATTTATCTTTCACCTGGATTATTATAACACTCTCCTAATGACATCCCTAGTTGCAATGCATTCTTCACCCATCCCTCCTCCAACTCATTTTCTATACTTAAAGCCACAATTATCCTTGCAAAGTAGAAATCAGGTCATGCCTCCTCGTTGAAATACTTCATTAATTCCTCATTATTAGCAAAGTTTGTTAATCACTCCCAATAAAGATGTTGCCCTAGTCAAAAGTATGGTTGCCAAGGATTTGGTATAAATTTTAAATTGACCCAAGTCTTCCGTGTAAGCTAACTGTTCAGTCAGTTTGGATAAAATCACATCCCTATTTACTTAAATATAAGAATAATACCTATAAAATCTTTAGTACCTAAATATCCTAACAAAATATTTGAATAAAATTAAAGCTTGAGGAAGATATGTCATGTTTTCTCTAGGCCTTCTTGTTCCTCCTGGATCATGGCCCTAAACTTATTTGTGGGGTTCTAGAGAAACAGATGACATAATTATGTTTTCGCATCAAATGACTTATGATAACCAAATCAGAACATCTTAAAAAATAAACATTCATTCATTTTAACAAATAAAAACAAAACTGCATACATACTGAGGTTGCAAACTCTTGAGTATTTATAGTTTTAGTTTCAATAAATCCTCATTATTATTTATTATTTGTAAGTTTTGCCCTATTTTATGAGAAGATACTGGATAGAGATACAGTTATAAACAGGACAGAGTGGTTCTGCCCTTATGGAACACATAGTCAAGCTGCAATAAGATACTAACATATCTACAGAAATGGCTAAGATTAAAAAGACTGATTTAAAAAAAAATGGTGGTGCAGGGATTTAAAGACAGAGCTATCAACCTATCAGCCACTGCAGCATGAGTTTATTCCCCAGCCGGCCATCTAGGGCGCTAACCCACATGGCCTATCTCGCCCATTGCTCCCCTGTGCAGTATATTTCTATACATCTGCCTGTTCTGTTCCCCACTCTGTCTCTGGTGAATCCTCTTACCACCCACACCCTGCACCTCTGACCTACACTCCAGTACTTTTATGCTTAAATAAAGAAATCTTTTTTTTTTTTTAATGAATAAATGGGGCCCTCCCTGGTGGCACAGCGGATTAAAGCACAGCGCTAGGAAGCTAAAGCCACTTCAGCCTGAGTTTGATCCCCACCCCGGAGGTGACCATATGGCATGCAGACCTTTCCTGACCTGTCCGCTGCTCCCCTCAGCAGTGTACTTCGTTAGTCAGCCTGTTCTTCTCCCCACTCTTTGGTGCATCTTCTCAATAGCCCTGCACTTCTGGCCTGTACCCCAGTTCTGTATTCATAAATAAATCTTTTTTAAAAAATGAATAAATGGTGGTAGTGATGAGGAGAAACAGAAACACCCATAGAAATACATATACATATGCATGAAATCATGTGTAAGATTTATAGCAGCATTACATATAACACACTAAACTAAAAATAATGCAAATATCCAACAATAGTAGAATAGCTATATATAAATGTTGGCATATTTCTGCAACAGAAAACTACACAACAATAAAAAAGAATGAATTGGTGCTATGTAAATTAGAACTGGCTAAACCTCACAGGCAGTTAAATGAAATAAGTCAATCATACATCTGTGTGGTGGCATTTGTTGAAACATTGAAAAACTGACAAAACTAGAATGTCAAAGGTCAAAATAATGGTTGTTTTGAGGCAAAAAAGAGGATAGAGTGGGAGTACAGGGGTAGGGAAACTGAGTTTCTATTTTTTTTTTACCTAAATGGTAATAATTGTGATAATTCATTAAATCGGTTTATGTATATAATTTTATATATGTGACATTTAAACAAAAAGCTTTCCAAACAAGTAGTTAATTTATCTTTTACATTAACTTTCTTACCAACCATCTTTTGACATATGGTCCACAGAGGATGATTTAATTT